CCATAGAAGGCCAGTTTCTATGTTCTTATTCTTGGGTGCCTGCAAAGTGCTAAGTGGTTAAGCAAAGTGCTACTGGTTAAGAGGGCAGGACTGGGCCTCAAGCAGGCCTGGGCTCTGGTTCCCACCCAGCCATTGAGCCAATCACAGACTCTCAGCCCAACCTACCTCACAGGGTTGTTGTTAGAATAAGACTGTGAGGAGGAGGAGCACTATGTCAGCCACTTGGAGTTCCCTGAAAGGAAAAAAGGCAGGAAATCGATAAATCAATAAATAAATGTATTCCAATGAGCTGCCACCACTCAGGCACAACCTCCAGACAAAATCCATGGGCCAGGCGAAAACAGTGTGCTAATCAGATATTATGGATTATAACTCCCATCCTCCTTGATGATTTGTCATGCAGGCAAATTATGAAAGCTACAGTTCCATTTTCCCGAGCTCCAAGATCATCTCAGATGGGGACCGCAGCCAAGAAATTAAAAGACGCTTGCTCCTGGGGAGGAAAGCTATGGCAAATCTAGACAGCATACTAAAAAGCAGAGACATCGCCCTGCCTACAAAAGTGCGTATAGTCAAGGCTATGGTTTTCCCAGTTGCAATGTATGGCTATGAAAGCTGGACCATAAGGAAGGCTGAGCGCTGAAGGATTGAGGCCTTTGCATTGTGGTGCTGGAGGAGACTCCTGCGAGTCCCTTGGACCGCAAGGCGATCAAACCACTCAGTCCTAGAGGAGATCAACCCTGACTGCTCTTTAGAAGGCCAGATCCTGAAGATGAAACTCAAATACTTTGGCCACCTAATGAGAAGGAAGGACTCCCTGGAGAAGAGCCTGATGCTGGGAACTATTGATGGCAAAGGAAGGAGGGGACGGCAGAGAATGAGGTGGCTGGATGGAGTCACTGAAGCGGTGGCTGTGAGCTTAAGTGGACTCCGGGGGATGGTGGAGGCAGGAAGGCCTGGAGGAATGTTGTCCATGGGGTCACAATGGGTCGGACACGACTTTGTGACTAACAACAACACAGTCCCAACCATCTGGACAGTACCAGGTTGCCCACTTTGACCTAGGAAAAACAGAGGCCGAGTGGAGGCTGGGTCAGAAGGTCTACGGACAAGGACCCCTCCAATCAGCCCAGCTCTAGGGGTGAGAAGTTTAAAAAGAAATCACTTTATCTTTTTTCTTCCCCAAAGCCACGGGGACATTGCATTTTGCAGAACTGCGAAAAATGCTTCTTGGAATGGGAGAGCTTTGCAACTGTGTCGTCTTCTTAACACTCATGAAGGATTTTAGTGGGAATTCTAAAGAAATATGGTTTTTAATCCATGAACCCAAATGGCAAAATATACCAAGAATCTTTATTTTGGACAATGGTGGAGGAAAAGAAGAAAGAAGAAAAGCAACACTTCTTGTTCAGATGCAGTGGCCATGGTAACGATAGCGAGAGTGGTAAATAGTCAAACTAACCTAGCTAGTTATAGTTTCGTTCCCTTTTCATGATCCTGGCTTGGCGAGCGTATCTATTTATTATTAGATTTCTATCCTGCCTTTTTTCTTACAAAGAACTCAAAGCAGCTTGCATGATTTGCCTCCTTTCTCAAACTTATCCCCACAACAACAACCCTGTGCGGTAGGTTGGGCTGAGAGTCTGGGACTGGGCAAAGTCACCCCGTTGGCTCCATGGCTGAGCGGGGACTAAAACCCAGATCGCCTGAGTCCCAGTCCCAGGCTCTTAACCACTACATCACGCTGGCTGTGCAAATGCAGAGTTCTGTGTAGGAAAGAGGTCCTGAGGGAGTGTTAAGCCCTTGCAAGGCATCTTGGAGCACCTGTCTGGATGATTTTCATGGACCCAAAGGAAGAGAGGCGCACCTCGCATAGCTATGGGGGCTGGAAGGCAAGAATCCCGGTCCCTTAACCAAGGAGATACCTGGATCCACCAAAAATCATTCAGTCAGCGACCACGTTGCTGATGCACGTGGCCTAGGAAGCCCATCGGAAATGTCTGTACATCTGTTTATTCAACCCGTCTTGAACTTCCACTGCAAAAGAGCGAGCTGTTCATACAAAGGGATTAATCTGGAAAAGTGTATTAGCAAGCAAACCCGACCTCTAGGAGGCACTGTTGATCCACACGAGGATGCAGTTTGCACCTGGCCAACCATTCCAAGGATTTCCAGGCTTACTCAAGATTCCTGAACCAAACTCCTGGGAAAGACCGATGCTGAGCTTCGGAGCAAGGCGTGTTCCCTCTGTTTTGCTGTCCGTCTTCTCGTGAAGAGCTCACCTGCTTCCTACGAGCAGCGCCACCTTATGACCCCCAGAACGGCAAAAACCGCTCTGAAAAGCGACACACACAGCGATGCCGCTGGTCCTTCCCCCCAACAAAGGTGTGGTGTGAGAGGAACCTGCGTGGCTGTGCTCAGGCTTCCACAGAGGCTTGGACGTTCCTCACCTGAAGGTCGGTCAAAGCCCAGATGTCACCGAAGTGACCCACGCTCAGGTTGCCCAGTACGGGTAGTCAGTCGGGAGAGTTACGTCAGAGTGCAGGCATAGGTGCCCAGTGACCAGGTGCCCCAACTTCAGAGGACACGTCCTCCCTCTGAAGAGTGGGCAGAGATCAATATCCTCCATTTGAGGGTCCATCCAGTCCAATGCTGGTGTAAGGCAGAACCAAGCAACCAAGCCATAAGAACAGAAAGCAAGCAGGATCTTTAATTAATTTCTATACCACCCACCAGCCAAAGCTCTCTGGGCAGTGGAGAACAGTTAACAAATGCAATAAAATACATCAACGACAAACCATCATAAAATTCTATTAAAAATCCTTAAAACCGCATTTGCACGACTAAGCGACTGAAACCCATCCAGAGCACTAGGTCTTCTAGAATACAGCCAAGAAGACCCTCCATGCCCATACGAGCTGGTTGATGCCTCAGCAAAGAGGGTGGTCTTAAACTGGCATGGAAAAGTTAGTAGCATTGGCAACAGATGGGCTTCACGCCAAAGTTTGGGGGCCACCAGCCGAACGTCCCTTGGAGTTGGCATTTGGGGGAAAGCTTGGATGCCGACCTTATTGCCCAGGCTCGTTCTGCCTGGAAGAAGTGTTTTGTCGGGTGTTGGGTTCCCACACCATGAAGGGCTTGAAGTTACCCCTCCGCAGTTACCTCCACACAGGTGCACAGCTTACCTGGTCAATTGTTTTAACTACAAGGAATGCAGGTGGGCAAGCGGAGTCGAGCTGGGCAACACCAAGGGTTCGTCTCCTCTGACATTCTGAATGAAGTGCCCCACAAGGGAAACATGTGCAAATATTGGGCAAACTGGTGTCCACGTGCTTTAGCAATGCGTGTGCAGCCGCCCTGGCAACACATCGTTAGGATCTGTGGGAAAGACCTGCAGAATTGCAACCTTCCATTGCTGAGGTGCAGATGCAAACGCTCGTGGGCTTAAGCCAGACCAACAGACTGGCTTTACTTTTTCAGCATGATTTTGCCAATACTCCTTCACCACAAATGCAGTTTGGCATGTGCCTTGGAGGAACTGTCAGAGGATGGAAGGAAGTTTAACGTTCCCTTGAAAGCACCGTATCACTAGTATTTCTGTCCTTTCCATTCCAGTTTAAGCATCTAGTCCTCTGGACAGATGCCTAGCCCTAGAGGGAGACAGTTATGCATCTGTTTTAGCCTTGGATTACATACTCCAGTGTAGCTCAAGACATGTATCAGCTCCAACTTGCTCACTTCACCGATCATTTCTGTCTAAACCCAGTTAGTCCTGGAACTGCATTCTCTCAGGTGCCACCAGTGCCTTGAAATTGTCTTAGAGAATAACCCATCATCCCCAGGTCCAGGAGGCAGGGGGCTGCCTTCTGCAAAGCGGCAGGTTTCTACTGAAGCAGGAGGCCAGGAAGCACACCTGACCGCAGCATTTCAGCGGAGAAATTCTGCCAAGCAAGTGCTGCCCAACTTACTGAATAGCAGAATTGTCCAGGTGCCTGAACTAGGAAGACTCTTCTAGAGTTCTTCCCAGAGCTGGGGATCAACCGTTACTTGCATGAAGACTAGAGATTCTTCTAAGACCCAACTAGATAAGGCGAGGAGCAGCAGAGGAGATACAATCCACTGGGAAAGGGGGATGTGGAGCTGTGTGTGTCTCTCTCTTCTGACGCATTTGCCAAAAGCAAGTCTCCCAGGAAGGGAGCTTGAGGCGGGAACATGGAAAGATTGCCCAATGTTTCTCCAGTACAGGCGTCCAGGTGGCATTTTATTTCCAAAAGAGAGGGGGAGAGACCTGAAACGGCACCAGGAGAACATTGCCGTGGACATGCCAGGTCCTCAAGGAATGAAAGACAGTTCAGCACTGGGCTGTGTAGCTGGCCCCCCTGGCATGGATCACTGCCTTGCCACGGTGAAGGGGCTTGCGCAGTGCAATGAAGCTATGAGCTATGCTGCGCAGGGGCATCCAAGACGGACGGGTTATAGCAGGGAGCTCTGTCAATCTTAAAGGAAATCAATCCCAACAGGATCAACCTTTAGAAGGCCAGATACTGAGATGAAACTCAGATACTTTGGCCACCTAAAGGGAAGGAACAACTCACTGGAGAAGACCCTGATGCTGGGAACAATTGAGGGCAAAAGGAGAAGGGGACGGCAGAGAATGAGGTGGCTGGATGGAGTCACTGGGGCAGTGGGCGTGAGCTTGAGTGGACTCTGGGGGATGGTGGAGGACAGGGAGGCCTGGGGGAATGTCGTCCATGGGGTTGCAATGGGTTGGACATGACTTTGCGACTGAACAAAAATCTGTAGCTAGTATGTAGGCAGTATTTTCCCCCTTGTGTTTTTTACAGAAGTTGTGTTCTCAAGACTGCCGCCAAGATGATGCTTTTCTGTTGAGTGCACAGGTGTTTTTACAGGTATACCTGGATGGCAATGGCTGCTTTCCACCATATTGCATCACTCGTATCTAGACGCAGGCACTCTCGAAAGGATTCTGGCCACTTGGATTGTTATGTACACTCTTTATTGCATATTGCCGTCTTTTTAAAAAAATGTACAGTCTCGTAACATAACACAGCATTTTTTGCTAGCTAAAAAACATTTTTGCACCTAAAAACCACTAAACGGTTTGCTACTTCTATGCTACGCTACAGGATACTTCAGTTTACAAACGATCCGTTTTTTGTCTTTTTTTTTTTGTTTTTGGCATGAATGAAAAATTCTTTAAAATTACACACTCAGGAGAGAGGTAAAGAGGAGCTCAAACAAGAATGCAAGTAAGAGTGGAATCTAAAGGTTGTTTACAATAAATGGCACATGATAGAATTTATCTGCACATGGACCCCTCGGTGGGGAACAGAAAAGCAAAGAAATGGCGAACAGAGCCCAACAAGCGAGTTGAAAAGAGGAATAGCCTGGAAGCATAAAGAATGATTTTCCCCAAGGCCCTGCTGCTTTCCCCAAGCTGCATCCTCTGCAGGGGGACTGCTGGCAACCCAGGGAAGCCAGCGATCCAAAGGATGCAAACCTACCTTTGGACACTCCGAATGCTTCGTTCTGCACGGATGACGGCTCATCAAGATCAAGCTGGCTCAGACTGATTCTTGATGCACTAAATGCCAGAGGACACTTTAGCCGAGATCCTGCAAAGGGTCACTGTGGTACTGAGCCCCAGAGAAAGGTGTGTGCTACCCTGGCTGGCCCTGATGGGATCAGCTGTGCATATTCATGAATTAGATCGAGGAAGACCCTTTCAGGCAGGCTTCTCTTGGGTCCAGCAATATTGTACGTGTTGGTGTTTTTGCCCCCGGGACTGAGGATGCGTTCCTGACGCAGGCCTGGGTATGCTTTCACACAACCAGCTGTGAAATGTTCTGCCTCCCCGCCCAGTGGGTTGGACGTGATGGAGGTGCACCAACTGACGCTCCAGCTGGGATAGTATGGGCCAGAGTTCTCATTTCCACTGTAAATTAGTCAATGCAATTGCAGGAAGTCGTGTAGGTAAATGTGGGTGTGCAGGTAAATGGTTGTGAATTGCATAAGGAAAAACCAAGAATCGTCCAAAGGACATTCCCGCATTTCGTGTGCTTTTGGATGGTGCTACTGGGGGATAGCTGTCTCTTTCTCCGCAACGCAGGAAGCTGGTGCATACGGCACATTCCTCACAACCAACATCTTGCAGTGTATGTAGGATTCACCTGGGGGAAGGGGCAGAACATACCTGTTTCCCTCCCAGACTCATCCTGTGGGTGATGCATAGGCACAGGAAGCTGCTGAATTTTTCGGGTGCCACCCTAGAACTGTTGGACTACAGGCCAGGTCTCCGGAACAGACACACTGTTATTTTCGACAGCCCCTGTTTGCGCTTTGAAAATTCAGAGTTTTGCTTTCTTTTAATCTCCAATCCCGTTAATGCAATCAGCCTGAACTTTTCCCAAACATCAACACCCTTAAATTGTATCTGACCCAATTTCTTCCAGCTATAAATAAAAATATATGTATAAAAGAGAGGCACTTTAGTTTAAGTAACAGTTGTGATCGACTTGGTCGCTTTCTTTTGAAGCAAAATGCGGTATTTGTGCAGCTGCTCTCTGCAGAGGTTCAGAGTGCCAGCATTTGCTTTCTTACTACTTCACAAGCTACTTGAACAGCCATCACACAAGTGGTGCATCAGAAAAAGCTGCAATGAAGAAACACAAAACTGTAAAGCAAGAAAAATGTGCGCGCTGCGCTCACACACAACTCTTTGACAGTTCTCTATAGTGTGATCTTCACAGCTTTCACATTGCACCAGGACCTGGGAATCCCTGGAAAAGAAACGGTATTTTGTACAAACTTGTTTTATATAAAACCACACATCTGCTGTACTGTACATGTGGAGAAGAAAAAAATGCTATTCTAATTCCCCATCATTTAACATCCTTTACAAGACAAAAACCAAAAACAAAACATGTCTCAAACAAGCATCGACTATCTAGTGCAAGAAGGACAAAACTCAAAAACTCCACAGGAAGGAAAAAAAATATCCCCATTCAGTTCCAGATTACAATACAGTGACGGTGGTATAAAAGTCGCTTCAGAGAAAACCCACAAATAAATAAAAGAAAAACCAAAATGTAACAGTCCTCTATATTCTCTATAATTTAAGAATATTAAGCCATGCTATAAAATTGGCATTTGTTTAAATTTTCCCAATTTTTGTATTACTATTTTTTAAATTATTAATTACTCCCTGAGCAATCTGGGTCTAGTAGGTTTTGGATCAACATCTTGACAGGTAGTTCTGTTTATAGATTTGCAAGAAAAAATACAAACAGCAACACACTTTCAAGAAGGAATTTTCTTGGCCTTTCCTCACTACTTTGCACTCTAAATTAGGTCCCAAAGTCCCACTTCTGGACTGCAGACAAAGACTTCTATAGCAATCCGTCCCGCTCAACCACAAAGGACAGCCCCCTGAACGAGTCCTGTAGAAGTACGCTGCACGACTTGACAGCACTCAAACCCGGACGACTCCATGCACTGCTGACCCCAACGTCGGGGGCACTCTGTCTTGGAGGGTCCTCCCCCAGGATGGCTGCCTCCCAGCCAAAGGCCTTGCTGTTGTTCTCATGGCAGCATCCCAGTGCTGAGCTTCCATTATCTGGAGGCTTAGAAGGAAGTCAGACCGATGGAGCAAGCGGGACAGAAGCATCGAAAGCCAACTGCAAATACTTGGGTGCCTGTTGGCCAACTTCTACTGTGAGTGGGAGAACTTTCAGCTGGGCCCATGTTTGCCAGCATGACCCCAAGGACTCTCCTGGAAGCATCCTACATCAGGCAGGTGTGACAGGGTGGAACAGACCCAGCCGAGTCAATGCTAACCGTTACAGAGAATACAGGTTGCCCCATTGGGCAGGGACTGGGAAACAAACCAGGACTAACACGAAGGCTGTTTGCTCCATCTCCCACGAAAAAGACACCCACCCCCAGATTCCCCAATTGTTTCCAGTAAGAACATGAATGAATTCTACAGATGCACCATCACAGCCATGAGGAGCTCCTCCGAGCCTCCGAAGGTGCTGGGAGAGAGACGCGTCTCCTTCAAAACAAGCAGAAGAGGAATCGCTGGAAAGGGGGTTACAACTGGACCACCTCAATGACCCCATGGGGTGTTCCAAGTCCGTGTAATCACCAAAACGAATCATAGTTTGACTTTCCCTAGCTACACGTTTCCGACTGGACAAGGGCAGTTTCTAACGGACTTCTCGCCACTTATGGTCCCAATGGCTTCACGTCTTCCAGCGCCGGTCGATCCAAGCCAACTTGCTCCGGCACAACACAGCACTGCTCGTCCTCCTCCAACTCCACAGGGTCTCCCCATGGCCTTTACATCGAAAGAAAGGAGCCACCAAGAGCATGAGTAAGGCATATCGGCCAGCAATTCTCCTTTCTGCCGAAGATGTTTCTGTGTCTTCTCTCTCCCTCCGTCTCTCTCTCCAGTGTTTGTGCTTTGACAGCAGAGAAATTACTTTTTGGAACGCCATTATAATCGCTAGAAAAGGGGACACTCATCCAGGCAATGGCGCCCGCACACGCTTTTGCTCTCCACCCACCCATCCAACCAACCAACCGGGTCTGTATATACAGCGCATTCGCACACACGCAGGCAAAACAAGGAAGGAGAGTGCCACTGCTTGACAGGGGAGAAGGCAAAAAAACGGACTTTTCCATAAGGTCACTGCTCAGCTTTTCTCACACTTTTCTTTCTGAGTTCAGAAGTTGAGTTTCGTGACGGGCCGCTCGCGGCTCCCGTCGGCCAGCTGGTTGGTGATGCGCTTGCGGCCACGCTTCAGTTTGCAAATGTCTTTGTCAAAGACTTCGCCAGATCGTAAAGCAGACACGAGGTCGTCAAACTCCCCACTTTCCTCACTGTTCTCTTTCGCTTTCCGCGCCTTGCGCTCCCGTTCACGCTGCTCCTTCAGCTGAAAGGGAAGTGGAAGACAAGATGATTCTTCAACAGGGGATTTTGCTGCTGAACAAGTTCTTGGTTTGACCTCTCAACAACAATTTGAGCTACGCGTTAAGTAATGCATGATTTGAGAAAATTAGATACTTCCTCACCCCACCCCCAGATGGGGCAGCTTCTCATGTTCATAAACAGTACAAATGACATCCTTGCCAGATATGGGCTGCCCTGAATGGGTAGGGGGCAGCACAGTTCCCGGCACCCACTCATGCACCCCTTGTGAATGAGGAGCTGGGCGGTTCTGGGGCATCTCCGGCTCTTCTGCCCTACCTGCGCTTCCATGCGAGCGCGCCGCTCCTCTTCCTCCTTCCTCTTCCGCATGTTCTCGTTCTCCTGCTTGGCTTCGTGCACAGCTTGCAGGAACTGGTCGAAGATGCCGAAGAACTCATCCGGCTGCGTCTTGCCGGCCTCTTCCCCGAAATGCTTCACCGCCTTGGTGAACTGGGGGGAGAAAAGGGCCGAGGCTACAGCAGAAATCCACCGGGCTGCTTCCGCCGGATTAAGGGCCTCACTGAGGGGATCCACTCCCATGCATCGCCCTCGTTCGGGACCTGCTTTTGCCTGAGTCATGGAGGCTGCAGCCCAGCCCTGCTGGAGGGCTACAGTTTCCCAACCACAGCTCTCGATAAAACAGCTCCCTGGAGATTGGCTAAAGTGGTGGTCCTTCTCTCAGGCTGTCCCTCCATCACGTCCGGTCATGCGTGCCTACGTCATCAGGCTGGACATCAGCAAAAGCTTCCTCGCGGTCAGAGCAATGGGGCAGTGGGACCAGCTGCCCGGAGAGGTGGGGGGCGCTCCCACACTGGGGACACTCAGTGTGAAACTGAGTGGGAGGGTGTCACGTGGTGTCCTGCAACAGCAGGGGGGTTGGACTTGACGGCCTTCATGGCCCCTTCCAACTCTGCTATTCGGATTCTATGATCTAGGGGAGGGTTGCAGAGCTGAGCTGGGGGGCCAAATGGACCCCCACGAAACCCTCTGCCAGCCCACAGGCATCCTTCTCCCTCCCATCCTGTCTTTCCACAGGACTCTCTCAGCATGGAAAAACGGCTGGGCTCTGGTGGTCTTAGCGCCGGCTGAGCCCCTCCCTTTGGGCCCCGAATGATGCCACCGGCCAGTGCCACGTTCTCGTTCTTAGGCCAATCGAACCGTGAGGATGCAAAGCCAGTTGTGGGGGGCGCCCCCTCCCATCCTGCATTCCTGCATACCGCTGTGACCTTGGATTGGAGACTGGAGTTAAGGGCAGGAATCCTCCAGTGGGAGGGCCCGAGAGGACGGCAAGGAAGCTCCGTGGGCCAGATGCCGACGCTCCACAGGCTGCAGGTTCTGCATGCCTGATCCGGGATGGAATGTGCCTAGAGAATTTTGTGGTGATGGAGGGAGCCTCTTAGAGCATCCCTCAGAGGCCCCGAGGCAGAAAAATCTCGGGCGTTAACTAACCTAGAGAAAACTTGCCCCCTGGATGTGTGGGGACTGCAATCCCCACTGTGTCCAGCCAGCAGAGCTCTTTGGAGGAAGGGTGGGGTCAAAATGAAACCCACCAATGAGAACGTGAAGTATCCCCCAAGACGCACGGAAGGAGATGACTTCCCAATGGCAGAACTACAAAGCAGCTCCCCTCTGAGCATCTGCGTTTGTTCCCAGGTGCAGCTCGAAAGCACCCCTTGCTTGCTTGTCCAAGCCCCCCTTCGACAAAGGTCTCGTGTGCCCCCTCTTTGCTTCACGAAGCACCACCATTTTGAAGCCATCGGGGAAGTCACACCTCTGTTTTTGCTCAACGCCCTTTGATTATCTCATCCCTCGTTCGCCTCCTTTCTTTATTAACTCGGGAGCTATAAAACCAGAGTTCAATATTGCATCACAGCAGATATAAAACGCAAACTCAGGACAGAGAGAGGGAAGACTTGTGCTTTCAACTTCCCTTTGAAGATTCGCGCCATTGTATGCTGTTTATTGTTGCCACATGCTTCGAAATTGGAACCAAATGTGCTAGAGAAGCTTTGGAAAAGTGGTTCCCCATTGCCACCCCCTTTCTTGAAGGAAACAACACCCACCCAGGCAGGAAGGTTGCGGAAGCCCCGTGAAGGTGAGCAGTGCTTAATTCTTTGCAGGGTTCAGGCTATTGACAATCCCTGGGCATAAGGCACATGCAGTCATGTTGGAAGACGCATGAGTGCTTTTAAACTGGCTTTGATATGCTATTCGGGTTCTCTGGCCCATGCTAGGTTAGACGGCTTTTTAAAAAGATCCGAAAAGCTGAGTGGAGACCAAGTCTACTGAAAGCTTGGTTAGGGATCAAGTCTCCATGACAGGAATCTCCAGGTCAGTTGTCAGGTACAAATACCTCCGTCCCAGTGTGGCCAACACACCTGGAAAGGAAAAGTTGGAGGGGCTCCAACCAAGCTACACAAACCTGTCGGCCTGTTTGTTTGTTTTTTTTTAAGTCTTTCTTGCTAGCGCTAGCAAAGAAATCAGAGAGAAGGAAAGGGATACCCACTGTGGCAGGTGTGTGTGTGGGGGGTGAGGGCTTGCCAGAAACTCCTTGGGGGGCTGCACTTTTGCTCCCCAGAAATAGAGAAGGTCCACCTCCTTCATTGCCCTGCTTATGATTTCTTAGAGGTGCACCATGTTGGGAAGGAATTCCAGCCGTGCATTTCCAAGCTCCATGTGAAACCCTGGTTGACGGGACCAGGTGCAAGATGCCGCCTGCACGGCAGGCCCATTGGGCTAACGGTGGCCATGGAGGAGTTGCCCACAGCAAGAACCGATCGGGAGAAGCTTGCGGTTCCTCATTTACAGCCTCAGCAAATGGCCTCACACAGTCCTCAGTCGCCCGGCTGTGAAATGGGAGCAAATCTCATCTTGACCGAAAGGGCAGACACAGCATGAAAGCAGAAAGACCTGGAGCCATAGAAGCCAGGCAATTTCTTGGGCTTCTTACCAGTTCTTTGGCTTCTCCCAGAAGCTCCTCCACATCTGAGAAGCTGAAGCTGGCCAAGGTGATGAACTGGCTGACGACAGAAACAAACTTGTCTCCTGCGTCAGAGGGCTGAGATCTCTGGTATTCCAGCTCCTTTGGAGGAAACAAATTCCATGTCATCACCGGTGGTGAATTTCAGGGGTACATGAGGAGAGGCAGCCATAATCTCAGCTGTGGGTTCTGCAAAGCCCGGAAGAGTCCCACGCCCCTGGCGACAACGGGAACTTGCTCTTTCAGCTGCGGTCTGTGTGCGGTTTGGGGAAGTAAATGGCTGTTGGTGGGGTGGGAGAGAAGCTGACTGTCCCTTCCTTGGGTACCATGGTCCCAATCCAGGCCTTGACCCTGCACACCTACTCTAGAGCAAAAAGAAGGGAGGTTTGGTTGCATGCGACACGATTAGCATGACCCCAGTTCTTCTTGTGTTCTGGGAAAGGAGGGCTGCATTGTGGAGGGACTCCAGCGGCAGCCGCAAAGGGTTCTCAAAGGATCAAAGTCGCCCTGCCTCTGTTGCAGCTGAAGTTCATGACCTGGGGTCAACGAATGGAGATCAATAGAAAGTGATAAACAATGGGAAATGCCGGATGACAGCAAAGGCTCTGAGTCACCAGCCCAGCTAAGCAGCCCAGGAGGTACCCGGCAAGCTGGCCAACCTAAACGCTTTGGCAGGAAATAGGTTCATGCCTGGGAGCAACCATAGCTCAAGGTACCACCTGAGAATCCTCGTGGTCTCTTTTGTTCCGGGAACTTATACCTGTTTATCCCACGGAAGTCTGCCATTTGCCGTGCTCAATCAGTGGCTCCAAACTCAGCAAAGAAGCTGGGGTTGTGCGTGTCATTCCCCACAGTCAAGTAAGGAGGCGTTTGAAGAATTCCATCCTGAGGATGGATGCCCAATTTTGTTGTCTGCTTCATGGGCCTAGCGCAATTTCCGTAACTGCTGTTGCACCTGAGCATTTCTTGTGTTCTGCACTTAGGACTGATCCCCCCCTCACCCCCCGGGAATCCAACGTTCCCAGGAAGAGAAGTTTAACAGCAGCCCTTGAGCCTCCGAAAGCTCAAGCACAACATCCGCACAGGCTATTTCTACCCAACGTTTTGTGTTTTGCTTTGAAGAATGCACATGATGAAAGAGACAAAGCAAAACAATTCGAGTCATTAAGAGGTCTATAAAAATGTAGTGAGAAATAATGAGATGCAGGTCAGGAAGGAGGAAGAGAGATGAAAGTGAATTCAGCTCGCTTCTCCTCCTTCCTCCCAAAGGGCGGATGCTTGAAAAGAGCCTCCCCCACATCACAGCAGGGGACCGTTAAGTGGGTAAACAGTACTTACTGCCTCGACAGCCTTCAACCCACTCCTCAAGGTGCCAATTTCCTTCTCCAGTTCAGTCATGCTGCCAGAAATAAAGGAGGTGCATCATTTTCCAAGCTGCTCTTAGCACTTTTCCAGAATGCGGCTCTGAAGCTGTTTGTGTGTCTCTCATTTTTTAAAAGGCACACAGGAATGTTTGATATTGCCTGATGCTCTGAACTGGCATCCTGCATGTCACAAATCCCCCTGGGTATGGGCTGGTGGCGGGAAGCACCCACATTCCAGGTGGCAGGGCCAATCAGTGTGGTGTGAAGTAGAAACGTTCTAATTTGCTCAACTGAACTGAAAAAGACCTTGGAGTTATTGTGGACAGGGGGCTAAAATGAGCCAACAATCCGATGCAGCTGTAAAAGGGGCACATACTATTTTGGGGTGCATTAATAGAACTATTACTTCCAAATCATGAGAAGGAGTAGTTCCCCAATTCTCCTCACTAGTCATCTGGAATACTGTGTCCAGTTCTGGGCCCCAAGATTTAAGAGAGATGCAGAAAAATTTGAAAGGGTCCAGAGGAGGACAACAAAAATGATCCAGGGTTTGGAAAGACTGCCCTGTGAGGAGAGACTGGGAGAACTGGGCATGTTCAGCCCTGAGAAGACTGAGCAGGGACATGAAATCCCTCTATAAGTCCCTCAAAGGCTGCCACAAAGAGTAGGGTCAAGGTCTCTTCTTGCTGATAGCAGAGTGTAGGGCATGGAATAATCAACTCAAGTTGTGACCACCCAGGTTCAGGCCAGATATCAGGAAAATCTTCCTCACTGTCAGAGCAATACAGGAGTGGAACGAGCTGCCCGGAGAGGTGGTGGGCTCTCCCACACTGGAGACATCCAAAAAGAAACTGGACAGTCATCTGATAAGATGGTGTAAATGGGTGTCCTGCAGCAGCAGGGGGCTGGGCCCCTTCCGACTCTGCTATTCTATGATTCTATGCATTTGGTAAAATCAAAACTGCCAGTTTGAAGGTTCTGTGCAGCTACGGTGCCTCTTCCTTCTTAGTGAAGTTTTTTTTTGGGGGGGGCAGCAAAACATGGGAGGGTCCCACACAGAGGAGAGGTGCTGATGTGGGTCTTCCATCAGGTCCTTCGAAGGAGGTAAAGTGATGGAACGATCACCTGGGAATCGCCCTAACATCAAAGATAAGGGACATGAAAATAAGCCAGCCTGGCTGGTGGGTCAAGTTCCCAGAACCTCCCAGAAGCAACGCTGGCTCTTTTATTTATTTATCTACTATTTGTGGCTCGGAGAAGAGACAGGTTGTTGCTGGAGGGCTCATAAACGCAAGGAAATAAAGAACAGGAACACCAGCTGCCCTGAGAGAAGCACTTACTTCACTTTGGCGGCGGCAGGGACGTCTTTCAGCTCTTCGGGCAGGTTGAGAACTTTGGGGTACTTCTTTTCCACGATGGTGATGAGATAGTGCAACAGAGTAATGTTCCTGCGATAAAGACATGCCCCGCGGGGCACAGAGTCAGACCGGGAGCAACTCCTTTCCTGCATTCAGGAGCGAAAACTGCATGTTGCGGTGAAAGGGGAATCTCCAAATCAAGCAACAAGTTTCTGGAAAGTGGTTGTGAATCCATGGAAAGGGGTTTGTTGCACCGTGAAGCCAACGGTGCAGAGGAGAGGACAGTGTGACAGGGTCGGATCTTTTGTGAAACTTCTCCGTGCCGTGATGGAGAGACCGGAAGGCTAGTCGCTTGGCACTTTGAATGAGGAAGGACTTATGCTAGGGCGGGTATTGGGAAGTCAGCCCATTGCTGATTAAGCTGCTAAATGCACCCACCCCCCTCTTTTCAGCAAGACGGAGAGGGACAAAATTTGATACTTCCCCAGGAGCAACTATCTGTCACATGCACTGACATGAAAGACCTCAGCGTTAAACCTTTCTGGAGCCCCACCACGCCCACCCTTTAGCTCTGGCTGGAGGGGGGATTTGCATATGGAAAGGGGGGTGCAGACACCTGGGTTCTCCCCCCAGATCCGGCCAATGTCATGTCCCCACTGTTTTTGGTGGGGAGCCTGGATGTCAAGTACTCCCTGGATTTCACTGTGGCTGAAACAATACTGGTAAGTAATAACTGATATTATGTTGTAATGACTGATTTGGCCTTTTCTGTAAGTAATCTGAAGGACCACACGGCTAGAATGCATGAAATGAATCATTTGGGTTGTTTCTTGTAGTGATGTGCTTATTGCAATGGATCTATTAGTTTGCTTTCTTTTATTGCTGCAAACCACCCAGAGAGCTTTGGTTGTTGGGTGGCACAAACATGCAATAAATGAAATGATTCATACATCAGGCCGGGCTGCTTCTCGGAGCTGCTTCTGCCCTAGCAGGCTGCATTGCACAGTCTCGAGGACTAGAAGGTGGCTCATTCTGCATCCCGCTCCTCGGAAAGACGGCTGGCCCACCGCGACCCTCATCACGGCAGACTGGAAGGTGGAAGGGACTCACTTGTCGATACTGGACTTGGTGTCTGCGATCTTGTTCAGGCTGGATATTTTAAACCCGTATGCGTTTCCTCGCTGACCCTTGTTCATGTAGTTGCCAAAGGCCAGGACCACTTCCAGCAGCTGCTTCAGGCTTTTGCTCTGGAACACTTCCGTGGAAGCTGTGCGGATTGCTAGGCAGGGCAAAAGGAAGAGAACCCGTCAACCAAGCCACCTGGCCGCAGAACAGGCCTAGAAACACGGTCTCTTCCGATGGTAAACGGCAAAGAAATCTATGCATCCTAAAGGAGGCTATCTCAGGACTGCGCCACCAGCGCGAGGAGGAGACAACAGTGACTCCAAGAAAAATACGGGAATATGATGAGGGGAGGTCAAATAGAAACACAGAAACAGAGTGAGTCAGAAGGGACCTCCTGGGCCATCTAGTCTGACCCTGGCTCCAGCTGGCTCTGCTCACAACATGCCCACCATGGGCATGTCTAGCCTATCCTTGAACACCCTCACCAAGGGGGCCTCCACCACCTCCCGTGGAAGCCCTTTGAATAACAAGCTGGCCCTTTGAAAATGAACGAACTTAGACGTGAAGGTGAAAGGACTGCTCTAATTATTCATCAGTGCGATCAATAAAGGATTACAATACTTCATTTTTAAAAACTTGAGCTTGACTAGTCTTTACAACAGACAGATTTGTCATATGACCTTTTCCAGAAATAAAATATGCCAAATTCTTACAGCTCGGCTCTGTTGACCAGTTCGTGTTAGACCTCTTGTGTGCGGTAGGATGCTACCACTGGAAAAGGCAATTAAGTTCTCAAGATGTTCTGCATGACCCTCAGAAATAGTCAAGAGAAGAGCTGAGGATCCAAGGACACAGCCTGATCTCTACAACTTGTGCTGGTGGAGGATGGGTGGTGAGATGATGTGCTCCCCCTACCCATGTGCCTGTTTTGTTCAGAAATGTAAAAGAAAAAACACCTTGAACATCTTCTGGAATATCAGACTTAAACCATGCATTTTCCATGGTTCAAAGATAGGCTGGACATGCACATGGTGGGAATGTTGTGAGCGGAGCTGGCTGGAGCCAGGGGTAGACTAGATGGCCCGGGAGGCCCCTTCTGACTCGCTCTGTTTCTATGCTTCATTATTCAACTGCAAGGGCATTGTAATGTGGCAGGTTAACTTAAGACTGCCCTCTTCTCCCAAGCACCCAATGGCATTTAATGGCACTTGATGGGGATATTTACGTCGGCTGTCTCCTTCGCTCCCTTCCTTTTTCGATGTCTTTGTCTCACATGTTAGCAATCTTCACACAATCACAATAATTCTAAAAACTTACCGTCCACTTTGGGTTTAACTTCAGCCACCCTCTCAGCAAACTTCTTTTTAAAATACAAAGACTGCAGCCGCTGCTGGTAATGGTTTATTCTGTAAGAGAGTGCGGGGTGGGAAGGAGAGAACGCATGTCTATCCAGGGACTAGCGAAAGATCCAAAGGAAAAGAGTTGGCGATCAAATAGGCCTCTTGGGAGCCTTTTTTCTTTCCACCACATATAGCAGTGCCCAGGGTGACCTTACCCTAATTCAAAGTCCCAGGTAAACCAGCAGCAGAAAACATTTTGGAAAACCACACGCTGAAAATTCAGTGACACTCACAACCTTGTGCAACCAGGTAAGCCTTCAAATCAACCGTGGGGGAAACTGTGGCCTTCCGGATGTTGCTGGGCTACAGCAACATCAGCCCTCACCGTTGGCTAGGCTGCCTCGGTTGGATGGGACTTGGAGTGCACCAAAAACGGGGGGGGGGGCAGTTGTTGCCTGTTCTTGTTTTACACAGTGTTGGCATGCCATCAGGATAGAATCCAGGTACAATAAAGACCACAGATGGTCCTTAAATGAACCATCTTAGTACATTCACTAAGGAGTCCATTCACTAAGATGTTTCCAAATATGTCAAATTCTTTGTCCACTCCTTCAGTGTGAAATTGCTTCCTTCCCAGACTTCCTGTGGATTTCCTACAATTTTACTTTCCATATTACTTTGTTCCCTGGAGGCCCCTTCCAAATCAGCCAATGCAATTTAGTCTAGTCTGAAAACCAGGGGCAGGCGAACATGACCATTTCCATCGTCAGCGTGAAAAGCAGGGGCAACACTGCTGCTCTTTAGAACAGCCAAGATGGCTGGGTTCGGACAACAAGGGCGGAGTGTGGGTTGTTGCTGAAACATAGGTTCTCATGCTGCCTCAACTGTGCCATGTGCAGGAGACAGAGTACCTAGAGGAGAGCCTTCTCTGCGGTGGCACCCCAACTATGGAATGCGCTCCCCAGAGAGGTCTGCCTGGCGCTGTCATTATATGTTTTTCGGCACCAGGTCAAGACCTTTTTATTTAATCAATATTTTAATATGTTTTAATGGGAACTGGGTTTTTATTGTTTGTATTTTATTAATTAGCAGCCAGAGTGGAATTGTCAATTTATCTATTTTATCTTGACCTGTGTTGCAAGCCGTCCAGAGATGCAAGTAATGGATGGCATACAAATTTTATTTATTTATTTATGAATGAATGAATGAATGTGCAGGGAATGGGCTGGACAGTTCCTACCGGCGTGTTTTCCAAGGTCAGCGTTGTGCTGACGCTTCTGGTGAGGATGGTGACGGCTGCAAGATGGCGGAAGCATTGGAACTGCGGAGGCGGAGGAGGGTGGGGCTCTCCCAAGGGCACCACCCCCAGATTCTCAGGCAAGCCATGGGGAACAGGCAGGGTTCAGAAGGGAAGGGAGGGGACAAAGGAGAAGTGGAAGGCAAACCTGTATCCTGCCTGGTCCCGGACTCCATGATACAGCGTCGGGATAAATGAGCTCCTCAGTTAGAGGGCCAGTGTAGATCTCCAAAGCGGGTCCTTCTCAAGATGGACCCACCCAGAGGATGAAGCCCAAAATTACTGAAAAGGAGAGTTTTTGGAAGCAGTTGCTAGTTTGGACTCAACTAAGCACTCTGTCCATGCAGAGAGACTAGTCTTTCCAGTGCTGTAGCTTGTTAGCTGAAGAGTATTCTGTAAAGAGCCTATCAGCTGTTTGGGAAGCTTGAACCAGACAAGGGGAACCCAAGCTCCCAAGACTATGCTGACAAACCATGATTTGTTAACCGCAAACAACCCATGGAGAGAACCCATGCTGCGAACTGCCAAGTGTTCATTGTGGTTTGTTAGCTTGCCTGTGAAAGCTGGACCATAAGGAAGGCTGAGCGCCAAAGGATTGAGGCCTTTGAATTGTGGTGCTGGTGGAGACTCCTGCGAGTCCCTTGGACCGCAAGGCGATCAAACCGGTCAGTCCTAGAGGAGATCAACCTTGGCTGCTCTTTAGAAGGCCAGATCCTGAAGATGAAACTCAAATAATTTGGCCACCTAATGAGAAGGAAGGACTCCCTGGAGAAGAGCCTAATGCTGGGAACAATGGATGGCAAAAGAAGGAGGGGACGGCAGAGGATGAGGTGGCTGGATGGAGTCACTGAAGCAGTTGGTGTGAGCTTAAGAGGACTCCAGGGGATGGTGGAGGACAGGAAGGCCTGGAGGAATGTTGTCTATGGGGTCGCAATGGGTGGGCACGACTTCATGACTAACAACAACAGCAACTTCTTGCCTGGGTTCAGACAACGCCATAACCCATCTTTCAGCCAGAGCCAATGGTTCAGTAATAATTCCTGCTCAGCCCACGAGTGTCCGTCATCCTCTCGTCTGAACCCAGCCAACCTGTGCCGCAGCAGTATGCGGGCTACCCGACAGCCCGGGGGCTACTGCCGGCTGCAGCCACTCTCCTTGGAATGCCCCAGGTGGCACGCTCAGGTAAATCACCTGCTCATCTCGAAGAGGAACCTATCGGCCTTGGCCATCCGGTCCAGCTCATGCTTGTGTTCTTCCAGAAGGTCAATATCAGCTTTTTCAGGGACGAATTTTAAAAGCTAAAATGAGAGGAAAACAGACAAGTTAGAAACACTGGCGCCTTCTGAGAGTTCCTTCTCCCAATGGAAGCATGGGGAAATTTACCTGAGAAGCCAGTTCAAAATCCTCCCCCAGTCTGGGGCCATCTAGGTGTCCTGGACTGCAGTGCCCACTATCCCCAGCCAGCATGATAGGAACTGCAGCCCAGCACATCTGAAGGCCACCAAACTGGAGCAGGGCACCCTCGGACCTGGGAGCTGGCATCGTGTGCCTCTCTACTACACAAATCCTATTTTCTCTCCATAGTTCCTCTAAAAGGGTTCTGCTACTATCAAGCACCCCTGTGACAACTAGGAGTAGTGACACATTTTGCAGGAAATGCCGACAAGGCACAGTCTGGGTCACCGGATTCCAAATGAGTTCTATGTAGAGAAGACCTATTGCAATTCCATTACTAAGTAGGATTAGCACTGGGCACAACCCAGCATTTGTCCTCAGTCTCCGAAGGTGTGTACTTTACCTGTGCCAAGACAAACTGAGTCACCCTGGGGTGTGACGGTACTTCCTTAGCATTCCTCCTCCACAGGAGTGACTCCTCTAGTGTGGTGACAGAACCGCCCCTCCCCCCACCCCCGGATGCAGCCCCAGTTTCTGGACTGGCTCACAGCAAGAAGGGGCAGCTGAACCTAGGAGGAATAGGGCTCTTTGGTTTCCTCCCACACCCTGCAAAAGCACCCCCACCCCCATATTCCTTTAGAGGAGCTGCACCTACAGTGCAGACCATTTGGAATGGCCTGAGACACCATGCTGATAAAAATTCTCCTTTTCAAATATCCCAGGTCTCTGGAGGGGTAACCCCACTGCAAAGATCGGAATCCCCCATCACGGGGCCTGTTAGCATCCTTCGCAGGGAGGGAGGGGCGCTGGCAGCGTCTTCGCCTCCTCATCCTCGCACCATGAATTTTGCTGGATGGGCTTCTTTGCTTGTCTAGCAAGATTTTTTTGGGGGGGGGAGGGGGAACAGTGATACCAGAGAGGCTTTCGAATCTGGTTTCTCTAGGTTGTTCCCCTCCCCGCCCACTGCCCAGATTCCAGTCTGCTTCATCATGGCCCAAAGCCTGAGGTCCTGGCAAGCAGACCCTGTGCTCACGAGGAATCGAGTCCTGTGTGAAAGACGCACGAGTGGCGTCCCTCGTCCGGGTCACGTGCAGCAGCCTTCGTGTGTGTTGCGTGCGACACAGACGAAGGTTCCCTGAGCGCTCACGGTCTTCCCCTCGGTGGGAGCCTGCGAGTGCCACGGAAACCAGATTCCTTGCAGCTCCATTCCTGCAACTCCTTCCCTCCAAAGGTGGCGCTCTTTGCATCTCAGACTGATGAACCCTCAGGTGCCATCCTGGGACTATTGAACTGTTTCCTCTGGCAGCCGTCTGGCTCACCTGCTCAAGCATGTCCTTCGGCAGGTCCTCCTGCTCATCCATCGTTAAAATCGCGCGTTTGATTTCATCATTCGATAATTTCAGCCTGGAAAAGAAATAACCGAAAATGGTTACATCCGCACAGTATCAAGCCAACTACCCAACAGCCCAGTGGCCAGTTCTAGATTTAAATCTGGGGAAGGGCAGACAATTCATAGCCGTTTATTGCAGACAAGAAGCATAGAAACAGAGCGAGTCAGAAGGGGCCTCCTGGGCCATCTAGTCTGACCCCCGGCTCCAGCTGGCTCCACTCATGACATGCCTACCATGTGCATGTCCAGTCTATCCTTAAATGCATTCACCATTGGGGCTTCAACCACCTCCCGTGGAAGCCCATTCCATGCCCTAGGGGTCCTAACTATCAGGAAGTACTTCCTGGCATCCACCCTAAATCTTGATTCCCTGAGGTTTTCTCCATTGGAATGCATCCTGCCCTCCACTGCAGAGGAAAAAGGTCATGACACCTCTGCATGGCACCCCCTCATGTACCTGCATGTTGCTACCAGGTTCCCTCTGAGTCTCCTCTTCTCCAGGCTGGAAAGATGCAGCTCCCTCATTCTCTCCTCATATGGCTTTCCCTACAAATCAGCCACCATCCAAGTGGCCCTTCGCTGCCCCGATTTCAACCTGGCTACATCCCTCTTGTACTGAGGGGCCCAGAACTGAACATAATACTCCAGTTCTGGGTGCACCAGACTTGTATATAGTGTACGCTTGTCACCGTCTGCCATCCCGATGAGTCCCCACTATTGGTGACCCTCTGCTTTCGGTCCGTCAGCCATGCCCTACTCCATCGGACAGTGCATCGCAGGGACCTCCTGGAACGGCTTCTCCTCTTGCAACTGTTTCAGTGTCTGCGGGTGAACACAGTAAAGCTCATTCAAATACTGAATACTGCTGAAAGAAAACGATGGCAGGACTGATTGTGACCAGTGCCTTCCTGGACAGCCGCAACCAGCAGGAAAGCTTTTCTTCTCGCTGCAAGGCAGCTTCTGCGCTGACTTCCCCTGAAGGCTCATGGCAAAACTGAACCTCGCCTCAAATGTACAAAGCTGCTTTTCAATAAGCTCTCTGCAGGGGTAAGGGGTGTTTGTGTGTGTACTTTTAATTATGAAAATGTTTCAGATAAGAAGAGGATGAGTGCGGGGTGTGCGAAGAAACTGCCGTCTAGACCTTAACGAACAGCCGACACGAAACGCGGCACAAATGTGCCCTTAGAGAGTTCTTGAATGTGCGTCTCTGAGTGTGTGGAGAGGCGTGAGTCATCTCCCAGGGCCAAAATAGCATAGCCTCTTCTCTGACAATGCGATGGGAAGCAGGCCAGCAAAAGCTATAAGCCTGTCCAGAAAAACCACAATAATTATCTTTCCTGGCAGCCGCGGCGGTGCACATCCCGTCCCAGGGTGGAACTGGGTCACGGGATTGGCTGTCGCGAGGGTTTAAGCCCTGGAACTTGCCAATGGGACGTGACAGCCCAGCACGTTGATGGACGTGGGCAGCTTTAATGAGACAGACCGAGCCCTGTGGGGGACAGGCGGGAGGAACCAGGCACGAGCAGAGGCGGGGGTCACGCTTTTGGCCTGGGAACCCTCCTCCTCCAACTCCAGCCAAGTCAGTCCGCCCAGAGATGCGCCTGACAAAGGGCAGGCACACCCCGCAACTCACACGTGGGGTACAAAGCCCAAGCAGGGGATGAGGCCGTGGCAGGGTCTGGGCCTCATTTAGCTCATGCACTAGGCCTGGCTTTCCCTGACAGTCTTTCCATCTGTGGCACCATCCCCTCGGTTAGGCGTTCTGCCCACCTGGTGGGAGACAGGGAGAAGGAAAGCCCACCATGAATTTTCACTGGCCAGGAGGAGAACATCCAATGCATCAAGGAGCTCGTTTCCATGGAGCCGATGCAGCAAGATGGCTTCCACTGCATGTCTGTTCGGAGGCTCAAGATTTTTCGGAACTGTACTCTGTGTGGCCCTGGGTGGGAGCTCCCTTGGAGCAAATCTGGACTTCCAACCTAACCAATAAACCTTCCCCCTAGACGGATTTATCCAAGTCTAAGACATAGGAATGTGTGGCTGTGAAAGCTGGACCATAAGGAAGGCTGAGCGCCAAAGAATTGAGGCCTTTGCATTGTGGTGCTGGAGGAGACTCCTGCGAGTCCCTTGGACCGCAAGGCGATCAAACCGGTCAGTCCTAGAGGAGATCAACCCTGACTGCTCTTTAGAAGGCCAGATCCTGAAGATGAAACTCAAATACTTTGGCCACCTAATGAGAAGGAAGGACTCCCTGGAGAAGAGCCTGATGCTGGGAACAATTGATGGCAAAAGGAGAAGGGGACGGCAGAGGATGAGGTGGCTGGATGGAGTCACTGGGGCAGTGGGCGTGAGCTTAAGTGGACTCCGGGGGATGGTGGAGGACAGGGAGGCCTGGAGGAGTGTTGTCCATGGGGTCGCGATGGGTCAGATATGACTTCGTGACAAACAACAATAGAACAAGACATAGGAATGTATGGCTGTGAAAGCTGAACCATAAGGAAGGTGGAGTGCCGAGGAACTGGGGCCTTTGAACTGAGGTCTTCGAATGATGTCCATAGGGTCATGATGTGTTGGGCACAACTTTGCGACTAACAACAAACAAGACATAGAAAACCAAAGCCACCCTGGGGGAATGGGCTGGCCATGCTTAGGGGTGCTGTTTCATGTGCTGGGAAGGCTGCGGGGGGGGGGGGGGGGGAATCAGAAGCACCCCAAGACTGACAGCCAGGCCTTGGACATACCTGAGCTTTATTTGAAAAGAAACAATGGCACTGGCTGAAATTACTTTTTATACTGAATCACAGCAGATGCTCTTGCGGGATATTGGTGCAAGGAGTGAGACACAGGCCGAGGGGAAGAACATCCCCGTTGCCATGTCTAAGGCATAGTCCTGGCTATTTTCCTGGCTGCTCCAGGGCAAGTCCAACCCTATAAGCCCCACAGGATCTCTTAGGTCGGATGGCTTGAACAGGAGTGCAAAGGCACAGCTGGGAGCACCCACAGCTCAGAGCCAGGCGGGTAGCAGAATGGGGGGCACGGCAGACTCTCAGGGCGCCTTGTTGGTCCTGCCAGGGGCGTGTATTCCTGGGTGGTGGTGGGAGCACTGAGGACTGAGCATCGTTCGCAGTGACCCCAGGACCCAGGCGCTCTCATCTCCTGGAGCCCTGTCCCAGTCTGCCACAAGCCTTCTGGCACAGAGCAGGGAAGATGCTGCCACACTGGTGGAATTCCAGCAGCCGAGAAAAGGCTTAACATTGGACGGCATGAGGGGAGATGGACATGGTGGGTGGGGCAGGTTGGCTGTAAAGCACAGCCTGAAGTCTGTCCCATGTCAGCAGACCCTGCTGCTTTTCGGCACTCCTGTGAGAAGGGAGCTGTAGGATCAGACCAAAGGGCTGGCTAGTCCAGGACTGGGGTAGCCATGGGGACAAGCAGGTGCCTTGGAATGCCACGCACGGGGCCCGGTGGCCACTGCACACCTGCGGTTCTCCTTCGGCAACTGGCATCCCGAGGCCGGCTGCCTCCCATCCGGAAGGCTGCGTGTGTTCGGCCTGAGCAGTCCTCCCCACGGGGTCCCGCTTAAAACCAAAAGGGGCAGAGGACCTGCCCCTGGTGGAAGGAGCAGGTACGCTTAAGGCTGATGGCTCGGACACAGACCTCAAATGCAAAAGCCTTATATGGCCATGCTGCGATCAGAGGACAGGGATGGGGGAAAGGGGTGGAGAAGCCAAAACGTTTGCTAGCAGGAGAAGGGATCTCACATGAGCTCATGGTGCAATCATTTTCTCCCAGAGCCAGGCCTGAAGAGATAAATGATCCGGCAAGACAAAACCTTTCTCTGCTGCATGCCAGACAATATCTGGCTTATTTCAGAAACATGTAGGACAGCCTCCCGCAGCCCATCACCCTCCAAATGTGCTGAGACCACGGTTCCCATCGTCTCCGACCACCAGGACCTGTGGAAATGAAGGGGTTCGTAGGCCACTGCATGTGGACAGTGTCAGTCTGGGGGTGCTTTTGGTGCATGGAGGCCTTTCATTAGCTCATGCGGACAAGAAATACGGATGTAAAGTCATTTTTAAACTTAGCACTGTGAGTATGGTACATAGCCCTCCTTGGCCAGAGGGCTGCAGACCTCTTTCTTTTGGTATGTGTGCCATTGGCATTGAAGGATAATCTCACAACAGTCCTAACAGGGAGGCTAAGCTGAGAGAAAGCCACTGGGAGGGGGGACCTCAGCATCCTGTACCCTCTCCCAGGCATCTTCACTGCACTTCCTGTTCCAGGCTCCTTCACGGTCCTTCAAAGAAGCACTGGGGGCACATGTGCCCCATAGTTTGACATGAAGCAGCAATGCAGCAAGGTGGACCTAAGGAGAGTCGTGCCTCATCGGACAAAAAGCCTCTCTCTTGAGCATCTGGTGCCCAGAAGGCAAGAAGATGTGTACAAGAGGCAACAAGCAGGACGTGGGAGAAAGAGCACCCCTGCACCCATGTTCCCCAGCAATTGGTGCACACAAATGCCCATCATAAGCAGAGCTGGCTGGAGCCGGAGGTCAGACTAGATGGCTTGGGAGGCCCCTTCTGACTCGCTTAGCTTCTATGTTTCTATCACCGATACTGGAAATGGCCATCGAAACCTGATTTTACTGGCACATGCCTTCTCCGTGTCCTCATCTAACTCATGCTTGAAGCCACCCCTGTTCAAAGAATCAACTCATTCTTGTGGTGGCCGATTCCACCATGCAGCCAAGCACTGCGCAGAGAGGCCGAACCATGGTCGTGTTCTGCAGCTATGTATTTTCCCTGTTTGACCCAGCTTCTAGCCTGACGAGAAAGGCTTTTCTTTCTACCCTCTTTCTCCACACCATGCATCAATTCCTGTGCCTCTTCCATCTCGTCTTTAGTCACCTTTTATACCTGCTTAGCACCCCAAATGGAAACGTTCCTCATATGGGTTGCTCCATCCCTTTGATCATTTGGGTTGCTCTTCCCTGCACCGTTCCTAGCTCTACGACCAAACCTTTCAAGGTGCCATCGCCAGAACCGGGATGTGAAGTCCCAGCTGCATCTCTTGCACTCACAGGACTTCTTCCCTGCCCTGGCCGGGAAGCGAGGCAAGCCAAGATCAAGTCCGTGAAAGCTCGGGAGCCCCAGCCGACCCCTTCTTTGTGCAAAGCAGGCTAAACAAGCAACTGAGCAAAGCACTGTGTGGTGGCCCGGAGGATTGGCAGATTTATTCTTTGGTTCTTTCCACAATGACCCACACAGGTGGAATCCAGCTTTCTCACAGCCCTCGTGCGCTTTTGCAGCACCAGGCTGTGCACAACAACTCCAGAATGTATCTCCTGGCGAGTCCTGCCTGCTCAGCTCCCGGAAGCACATACAGGTGTTTTGACAAAAGGTACACTGCACAGTCCCTGTGAGGAATGAGGCAGTGCTGCCTCTTGAGGCTGGCATGGTCTGACCTATCGCAGCTTGTTGTCCCACGACACCAGCCCTGTCAGACCTGGTGCACCTGCCCCTCAGCTTCCATCCGCACTAGGCATCGCTGCCAGCGGTCAGGGGTTATCGGCAATTAGGGCCAATATATCTGGAGAGCACCAAGGAGGAGAAGATTTATCCACATCTCTGTGAATGCCTTGGGCCATGCAAGCGGAAAAGCCAAGAGAGCTGGGCATGCATGCACTCCGTCAAAGTGCCTCGGAATATATCAGAGGACCTCCTGGGGAAAAGCTGCAACGCGGGGAGGGAAATGCAGCAGTGGTACCTTGAGAGGAGAATATTGCAGTTCTGAGCCCTCCGGCCATCGATCACGGAAAGCTCCTTGACTTTATGCCGGGAACTCAGCGTGTCGTCAAGAGCGTCTTCTTTCTGCAAGAAGGCATGTAAAGAATCCGTTATAGGCCGACCCACGTTGACTCTTTTGAGTGTCTGGCCGAGGCCAACACCCTCAAGAATCTCTACTGAGATTGACAATGACCATCCAGTCAGCCACTGCAAGATAATCAGCTGCTTCCTCAACCGAAATGCAGGGAACAGGTTGGAGCAGGGAAGAGAGCAGTTGGTAGCAAATGCATAAATATTTATCCAGGTGGAAAGATTTAAGAACTCACAAGTGAGGAACAAGGGTGAAGCAAGGGCATTTCTAGCACATGCGAACTGCAATATTCTGCACACAATAGACGAGCAAGCTGAGTTACCCCCAGCATTTCAAAGCTATACGCTGCTCTGTAGGGGGAAGAAACTGATCTCAGCAGCAGAACCTATGCTGCCCACTGAAGAACCGGCTTCAGTCCCAGGAACTGGGCAGGCAACTGAAATTAGCCTGGCTGGGAGAGAGATCCGCTTGCCGTTTAATTACTGTCATCATGTGCTGCCTGATAGCCGAAACTCGGGGAGACAAGATGAAAGAGAGATTTGGCTATAGACAGGTAATAAATAATCCAAACAAATGCAATAGAATTAGTACCAGAACACATTAAAATAGAACACGTTCATAACAACTTAAATAATCTAAATAACAATTAAACAACGATTTGTTAATACTAATTATGGGTATCTTTATTAGTCGTTTCATTATTACTTGTAATAATTAATGTCTGATCATTGAATGATTAAACAGGAATGATTTAAAATGGATTTAAGAAGAGAGTGACACACGGACGCTTAGAGTGATCCTGTGGCCCGAGCAGCGTCTCCAGGGCCACAGGCATTTTGGGGGGCCCAGCTCTGGAGCAGGCAGGCACCCCCCACTGGGGCTGGGATTCCATCTTCGGACCTTGCAGCCCGTGTGGAGCGAACGGCACCAGCTGCTTCTCCCAGAAGGCCTCAGAGAACGGGCTCAGGGTGCTCCAGGGGAGACCGCCGCGGCCAAGATGGCAGGAGGAGGTGGCCATGACCCTTGCCTCTGCTCTCCGCTTGCCCTGCAAAGGGGGCCTGCGGCCTCCGAATGCAGAGGCGACAGCCACGCCCGTGGGCCTGCATGCAGAACAGGACACTGGCTTGGACTCCAGCATCACAGCACGAGGTATCAGCCTCGCTGGACCAATATCCCGAGCAGTTCCGTGTTCGAAAGGATGGGGTAAAGCATTTGTCTTATCCCCAGTCAGAGCATGGGCTGATGCTCTCTGAGTCCAACCTGTGTGGGCTGGTCCAGGGTCGTTCCCTCTGCCTGGGCACAGCTTTCCCAGGTCTCCTGCCCCGCCACTGAGCTGCTCCCGGCTATGGTCACGTCTCTCTCCGGACTTCAGCAGCAAGGCACAGTGCGCTCATGGAGAGCCGGAGGCGGAGGGTGGGCAGCTGCCCACCCAGAGTGGTCCCAGGGACGGGAGCACGTGCATTGCGTGAGGGCTCCCCCAGGCTGATCTTGCCCTGGCTGTGGCGCTCAGCACCACAAGGCTCATCACAGAGGGGGACTGCGTCGCTCTTAAGGAGGTGGCAGAAATCTGCCAACGGCGCCCAACGCTGAAATCGGGCGGCAAGTTCTGTATGGACCAGGCTTCTCCCCGTCACGCCAACTTGCGGACGGGTTTTTAATTTGGGGGACTTTGCTCCTGTGTGTGTGCGCGCACCCGTTTGCAAATAGAAATGCCATTCTAGTACATGAAAATCCACTTCCATCCACGTGTGGAGGAACAAAAGATTCCTGACACTCTGCAAAGCACAAGTGGAACAGATTTCACGAAATCTTACACCCCTAAGACCAACCTATCTGGAGGGCACCAGGCTGGGGAAGGTTGAAGCTCGATGCACAACAGTGTGATTTCATATTGATCTAGAATAAGCAACAAGATCTTTAGCTACAGGCATGAACAAAATGTTTGGGATGTCCCCCCACCCCCATCTGTTTCAAAGCTGCAGGTAAACACAGAGAAATGAAATAATTAAATCCATCAGTATTTCAGAAATACTGATACAACCATGAGCCATCAGGTGCCTTAGAACCTTTGGTGGTACCCCTGAAAATGGAAAAGGTCTTAGTCAATTAAAGAGGTGATTTCTACCACCTGCTTTCAAGCCCCTGAGAGATGCATGGACCATCTACAAAAAATCAGCCAAATGAAAACAGAACACATGCAAACATCATACGGGCAGAGGCAAACATTAAATCATGGTTAACCAAGAAACCTAGATTGACCCTAGGCCTTCACAGTTCTGGATGGGAGACAAACTATGTTCTTGTATCTTTTGCTGTCAAGTCATTGCTGTGTGGGCCCAATAAATTATTTTAAATAACAGGTTCTTCAGTTCTTTCAGACACACCAGGTTATGTTAACATTTTTAACAGATAGATACAGAAATCAGTTTAGGAGATTTAAATTTGGAAACATTAGAATCCATTAGCATTGCCTAGTCCTCTGTCCTTTTGAAAACTAATACACAATTTTTTTGGTCCACTGAATACAGCAGCACAACCACTCACGCTTTCCATGGAAGATTTAGGCAGAAGCGCACTTACCTGTCTGGAGTTACTGTTCCCAAAGAAGTCCTACAGCCAGAGCAGAAGCATGGGAATAGGCGGGAAAAAAGCGTGCAGTTCAGTGGTCACAGCAAAAAGAACAACCACAACACAAACAAACAAAAAGAGACGAGTCAAAGCACATTGGAAAGGAGATATAATTCCGTGGTGTTTTTTTTTTTTTTCTTCAAAAAAATATATCCACAGTGCTTTGGATATGCCCGCTGCGGTCATTGTAATGCAAACCAGAAGGCATGGGACAGTCGACGGAGATTGGAGAGAGGCCACCGAAGCAAAGGGGCATGCAAGATCAGAGATAAGTGGCAGCCAAGCAAGCCATTAGTAAGATGCATTTTCATTTATCGGTCATGAAGACTTTGGCCAACACCAGTCGGAAACATGGAACCTACCCCTAAATAAGCAGGGATTCTGTCTCCCAAGCGCCCACCCACATGGCCAGAGACAACACGAGCTGCACTGCAGCTGTCGATTCATAATCTTAAGGTGTTTCAGCCAGATGTTGGTTCTCCTGTGCCAGGAACTACAGTTAATGTACTTGCCATGCCTTCGCATCAATCACCTAACCTGCATCACAGGGTTGTGAGGATAAAATGGACTGGAAGGTGACCGTGTACACTGCCTTGGGTTCTTTCCAAAAAGAGAGGAAGAGGAAGCAATGCCCTGCGTATGTGCCGATCATTGTGGAACCAAGGGTGGCGTTCGCCCTCTTGGCCACCGCATCACACAGCTGACTCATGTTCAGCCTGCAGTCAACCAGCACCCCGAGGTCCCTTTCACAAGTGCTGCTCTCCAGCCACTTGTCCCCTAACCTGTACTTATGACACCCATTCCTATGTCCCAAGCGAAAGACCTGATGGGCAATCACAAGGCCATGTCTGCCATTTTTGGTAGGAAAGCAGGATATAAATCAGTGCCTCAGTGACAAATCCCAGAAGATAGAGCTCCTCGGACTGCATAACACATCTAGCACAAGGACTGGGGGATCCCTCTTGTCCTTTCTCAGCTGCTGCCTTGGATGTCGACCATTACCTGCCAGGGTTGTGCACCTAACCAGTACAAGTCTGGGTCCCACAATCCTCTGCTCCTCTGTCAACCCTGGGGGCGGAGCTCAGGAAGATCAGAGGCAAGGCACGGGTGCAAAGCACGGATCTTGTGGCCCTTTACGGGGGGGTAACTGATGCATTTTAGTAAGGTTAGCAGATTATAATTATGCAGGTCTTTCCTTCTTCCCTAGTGTGAATGTTCATCAGGCCCCTGGTTGCCTGGAGCCCTTGAACTGGGATGAAAGGAAGAGGGTGTTCAGGATACAGGGAAGAGACAACTGGCCTCACGACTGGGGATTGCCCAACCCCTCACTGCTTTTTCAGCCTATTTAAAAAACTGGACCAGCTTGGGAAAATTTATCCTTGGCAAGCTCATCTTTGCATACTCAATTTTCAGCCTGGCAAATATAATCCAGTGACCTTGGCAGTGCTGAAAGAACGGTGCGGTCACCAGAGAAGAGGTTTCTCTGGGTTTGCTCGTTACACACACTGCTCCCAATTCACAAACATGTGATGCACAACTTGACACATTTGTGGCTCTCTGCAGCCAGAGCCAGCACGAAGTATTTTAGTACCAAGGTCAAAAAGCTAAACAGTGATGTTCTGTCACCCGCACATGACAGACATTCCCACTGCGGTATCTTCTGCAACGGAGCAGATGTTAGCTGTGTAACTATTAATACTTCCTCACTCCAAACCAATTTTGTAGACAAGGGGCACCATCTTGGATTTTTTCAGAGATACGCAAGAGTCTTGGGGCTTCTCCATCCACAGTACAATCAACACTTCAAGGGTTAAATAGTTTACTGTACTGGGATGGAAGAGAATATTCATTATTGCTAAGGCCATTTACATGGGATTCTAAGAGGGAAAACAGGTTGGGGTTACGAGTTTTTCAAACCGCTAAAAGAATCTGGATTTTGTGCTATGTCCGATGGGGTGTGTGTGGCCAAATAATCACTCCAGGAAAAAATTTCCCAAAGCACATACAAAAACTAAACTCCCAGGATTAATTTTCCATAGCAGTTTACAGAGTTTCTCCGGGCTTAGGGACTTCTTTCCAAGCATCACAAAACTAGAAATGAGAATCACAGCTAGGGCTATTCAGTTAATAACTGCAAATAACAATGCAATTTCAAATGGGGAGTGAGTTTTGCGGCAGACAATTCAGCATGGACAGAACGCCCCTGCTCGCCCCGGTCAAGGCAGGAGGTTCAGGGCTGCTTCATTTTCCCACCTTTTCTCTGGCAGATCTCAGCTTTTCCCTGCTTTAAATTCCCCACCTTGAAAGTAATGCATGAATCAGTCTGACTGGCAATCGGAAGTCGTGGAGGAGAAAGTGATCCCAGGCTCCTTATTAGGATGGCTTTATGCTACCTTCGGTACCAGCAGGTGCCTCTTGCTGGGGTCACAGGAAGGAGAAGGTGCTGTTGGATTCATGGTCCAACTTGGGTGCTTCCCTCCCACAGACTGTTAATTGACTACCATGTGGTCCTAATACTTGAGTACATGGACGTTGGTCGATCTTTGGTCGGTGGCTTTGGATGCAAGGCCATCTTGAGCATAGCAAGAGAGCTCTGCTAAAGGACTGCATAGCTAAAGGATCAAATGCAGCTACGGGACTTCTGTACTGGCAGGAATTTCTGCAGGCATCCTGCCCCATCCTGACCTTCTCCAATGCTCTTCAATGGGCATAAGGATCACTTTCTAAGAGCATGATCCTATGCAAGTTTAAACAGGAAAAAACCTGGCTACAACAGACTGGGAGTTTTCCACCTGAACTTGCATAAGATTGCACTTTTCCTTTACTAGAATTATTTCTACAGTGAATACTCCTCTTTTGTACATTTGTATGTTTAAATAAATATCAATATAAGGGCTCAGATCTGTCAAACAAAGTTGATCTGATTCATATCTGCTCCCAATATTAATATGTAAAGGTTTTTGTTTTTCGGCGCCAGGCTAAGACCTTTTTATTTAAAACTTATTTTATGTGTTAATTTATTGGCTATCTGTAGGATTTTAAAATGTTTAAGCCGAGATGCACCGGGTTTTAATATTTTTATTGTGTAACTTTGTTTTTGTTGTAAGCCGCCCCGAGGCTTTGTTGCGATGGGGGCGGCATAAAAATGTTTTAAATAAATAAATATTTCAATTTGTGGGACTGCAATTTTAATATATGATAAAAGTTGAACAAACTTTTTAGTATCTCCATGAATACTTGAGTTTAAAAAAAATCCAATCTATCTCATTTGCCTTTTAATCAGCCAACACAAGGGAGAGTTCCAGGAACTGGTCTCTGTGTGTTTCAGAATCAACAGATGAGATTCAGCGCACTCAGATAACAGGAGGAAGGGAACAGTTCACCAGTTTTTCCATATCTAAAGATGTTGTAATTAATTTCTCAGAAATTTAAAAGCATCACACCACGGCAGCATTCACACAGTAACACTAAGCCATGGTTCATATCAACCATGAATTCAATTAGCCCTGAATTGTCTTCTAGATGAGCAAACAGATGCTTGGTCTCCCTATTTCTTGTTTGTTTCTTTTCCACCCACTTTGCCAGCCTTTCACTTACACGGTGCTCTTGTTTCAAGGTAGGCAACAGCACAAGCAAGCCATGGATAAGCTACAGATATGGGTTCTGACATCGCTACAAGCCATGGCTTAAACAAGGCTGACTTCTTAAGCCCACAACAAACCAAGGCTTTTATTTCTGGTGTCTTGCTGGTTTGTTTGTAGGGATGAGCTCAGATTCAAACCTAACAACAAGGTAGATTTCAATGGCTTAGTATTGCATGTGATCCAGGCCTGGGTCTAGAAATGGATCTTTTGGAAGAAAATGTTTAATATGGATTTTGAGAGAATTTTTTTTAAAAGACTATTTAAGCATGTATTGCAATACAAATTTTCATGTGGATTAAAAAGCAAATTGCAGGTCAATTTGCAATGGGTGGGAACTGGCTTGTGGGTGAACACGTGTGAACCATTCCTAGTTGGGTGAACTACAGCTACATGGACACTGGGCTGATCCAGAGTGGCTTTTCTTCTGTGTTGCTGGTTATGGCGAATCCAAGGCCACCCAGGCAAGCCTTCAAGATGGCCCTGTGCTTCTTTCTGCAGGTTTCCTCTTTCTGCAGGGGGCCTGACGTCACTGCAGGGAAGGGTGTGAGCAACCAAGCTCTGTTGCTTTCAATGGGAATTCATTACTATTTTAGCTGGATTGGGGTCTCTGTTTACCATTGGCCAAACTGCTGCATTAAAAAGAAATGGTAGAGAAAACTCATTAACTTGTAATCTGATAGAAGAGTCCCACTCCTCCCTTCCCACCAGGCTCTGGTTCAAGTGCTCTGATGTTCTTCTTGCGAGCTCTTGCAATTAGAGACTTGTTTCTAGCTTGACTCTAGTATCATAGTTGAGAGCGGCCTTTAACGACACAATTAGCTTAAATGCCACAGAAGACGGATGCCGGCCTGTATCCTATTTCTTATTAGAGGGTGGCCTGAGGGCAGAATACTTTGAGTCTGTCTGACTGTCTGCCAGTTCCTGTAGGGAGCAGAAAGAGATGCCTGCAAAGAGCAGTAGGAGGCACACCGGCCAAATACTGCAAGCGCTACAAAAACAGCCCCTAAATTCAGTTCGTGGAGGCAGCCTCTGCACACACAGCTATTTAGCTAAGCTTTATTGCTGCCACTGAGAGCCAGAAGGGAAGAGCTTCAAATATCTGTACTGTGAGGAAGTCAGTGTAATAAATATGGGTCGTGCATGGTGACACAGAATACGCACCCCAGTCCCACCTGTGGAAGAACCGGGAGCATTTTATACCTGGAACCCGGCCCTCCCCATCCCACTCCAGTGCAAGCACCGGCATCAAAACAGAATGACGGATATTTTTATACAGTACTTCCAAGTCCTAATATTATTTATGGTGTTTGTTTTTAGTGCGTATTTTTGGAGGTGTGG